TGTTGTGAGTGCCTTTAGAGGCCCCTCTCCTCTACCCTTCAAGCTCTTTCCAGAGACCTATGCCCTTCCTGCTCAAAACATTTCTTGGTTGGCAGTAGTAGCCCCAGCCTCTCTTTCAAGTTGCCCCCCTGCCTCCCCCTTCCCTCAGCTCCTCTTCCGTCCTGGGCTTGTCTTGCTTCAGTTCAGGCCAGGCTGCCAACCTCCCTTTGGCCTCAGGCCTTGCCTTTCCCTGCTCACTAAAGGCAAAATGGGCCAAGTCTCTTTGGGGTTCTAATCCAGGATGTTTTAGGAAGCCAGACTCAGGCTCAGGCTAGGAAGTTGTAGGATGAGCATTTGCTTGCTGTAGTGACTTGAGTTACTGCTCCCCATTTTAATGTATTTCTAGGAGACCTAGCTTTCCTGGGGCTAGGTGTGTGAGGGTGCCTGTGGCTGAGGCTGTGGTGGACTGTGGGTGTGGGCTGTTGTTTTCTGCCACAACAGGGCATGTGGACAGTTGTGGGAGAAGGGGCCGGTGGCCAGAGCAGACAAAGCCCATCCATTGGTACCCAGCCGACTATCACTGTCGGGTGTGCTCAGTGATGGCTACAGGATCTCGAGGCCTGGAAGACGAAAGATGGAGGGCCTGCTGGGCTGCACTGCTTGCCCCTGCCCATTCAGCCTCTTCCCGTGTACCATTCCCCACTGCGTAACCTCTGCCAGGCAGATAAGGTGCGACCCAACTGGTTTGTTACTAATAATAGTAACCAAGACAGTGAATTTTGGGGTGACTTCATTTTACATTGAAGCAAGTCGAGGTGTAATAACTTCATCCTCACTCACTCACTTCCTTGAGTGGAAGAGAGGCGTGAGGCCACACACCTGCCCGCCCTGTTCTTCACAAACAGTAGTAGTCTTCTACTGCTGCTGTGACAATGAACACAACTAAGTGGCTTAAAACAACACAAATTTATTCTCTTCCAGTTTTGGAGGTCACAAGTCTAAAAGGAATCTTATGGGGTTAAAATCAAGGTGTGGGCAAGCTGGTTCCTTCCGGAGGCTCCGGGGGAGAATCTGTTCTTTGTCTCTTCCAGCTTCTAATGGGAACTGGCATTCC